AAATCCAATTATAGGAGCACATCAGAGCTTGTCAACATGATTGGACACCCAGGAGGGTGCCCTCATGGACAGGCTAGACACAGGTACACAGATGTGGCAGGAGTGTGCCCGGAGTGTCAGCAAGGGGGCTGCAGAGGGAGAACTTGGTCACCGTCACGCTGAAGGAACAGAGTGGAAGAGCAGAGGAAAATCCAGTCTAGATACCTGTAGGCACACTAGTACTTTACTGTCAGTTTCATTAATTGGGATTGTGATCTTGGATAAATCATCCCTTTTCTCTTGGTCTCAGTTTGCTCATCTGTAAAATGAGCAGGACAGACAAGATTATGTGTAAAGTTCCTTTCAGCTGAAATATGCCATAGTGCAAAGTTTGAAATTACAAAGTAAATGTCAAAGAGAAAGTAGCAACTATCTGAATCTCCATGGGGGCAGGTGGTCCAGAGATGATTAACTCTAGGCCAGGTCACATATCACCCACCTGTGCACATATTAATATATGGCACACTGTGTGCACACAGACACACATACACTCATGCCCAAACCTATATATGTGTGTACCATGCATGCATACACATATGCATATGTACATGTGCACACGCCTCTATCCATGCTACATCTGCAGTGTGCATATCATGTACCCACATCCCCCCACTCACACACAAACCTATGCATGTGCACACCATTTGCAAAATCACAACCATGCACACATCCTTGCGCACACATCTGTAGTTGTGCCCACACCTGTAGCTGCACGCGCGCGCACGCGCGCAAACACACACACACACACTACACCAATGTGCATGTTTTTATACATGTGCACATACTTCTGCCCATGCAGACATTTTTATATATGGTGCACATCAGGGCCAGACCCATAGGGAGGGAAGAACCAGGTGAAGAGGGGCATTTAGGCTCCTTGTAGGATGCCATTTTCAGGAAGAAGACAAAAGTCAAAGGGAGAAGACAGCTCATCCTCTCACAGTTGTGGCCCAAGTTCACTCAATAGCTTAGGAAAAAGTGACTACCCAGAGTCCAAGATGGAGTTTTCAGCATTGTACTTTCTTCCTCTTGTGCCATAGACATCCAGGAAAATCTAATTTTCATTAGGAAATGGAAGTAACATACATCTTCCTTTTAAGGCCATCCCTGGACTAGGAAATCCCAGTATGGGATTTTTATTTGCAATAAATATGCTAGGTTGAGTAAAATTGGATCAGAGCTTGGCAGGAATAACTAGTTCCCCAGGGGACAGTCCTCTGTGTGGGAGATAAACTGATGTGGCAGGATGTATAGCCTTCAGGCTAAAATTAGGTTACCTTTTAAATAATCATATTTCACATGGTTCTATGAGCACCTACGTAATAACCCCATTTTTCCCTTTTGGACTACAAAGCCTAAAATATTTGTTATCTGGTCTTTTACAGAAATTGCTTGTCAATCCCTGTTCTAAACAACTACAGAAACTTCCAGTTATTATCGGTCAAACTGAAAACCCGTTGCAGCTAGCAGAGGCTCCTAACCTCCAACTCTGCCCCAGAATGGTAATGATGGGGGTAAAGAGTGATTTTCTTCAAGGCCACTCCTCTCGTTTCCCTTATCTGACCTGTCCTTCTTCTTCCTAGCCATGTTTCAAGGTTTTCAGAAGCCTGTCTCATCTATTCTGGTCTTCACTGACAAGTCCCTGACCACACATGGTTGCATGATTTGCCTTTGCTTCATACTCATCCTTTACCCCAAGGGAGAGTATAAAAAGGCCCAGCATCCCCCATAGCACTGGAAGAGAGCTAGACCAGAGTCACTGTTGGGTAGACAGGTACTGCTGAAGTCAAATCACAGAGAACAACATAGGGACATCACCCAGAGTCAACGCCCAACTTGTCATTTCTAGAAGAGCCCCCTGCACTAAGAGAAATGCATTGCTTCATCCCCAACTCAAAAGTGCTCCAATCATTAACACAAAACAACTCACATCCCAGCTCCATGGGGAAATTCCTCAAAGTCCTGGTACTCAATTCATTTTCCCTCTCCAGGCAGTGTTCCGGTAATGTGAACCAGAATGGCTCTGGGCTTTTTGAAGCATATGACATCAACTTGTTTCTCAACCTGACATTGCTTGAGGTTCAGCAAGCACCTGGGCAGAACAAGAAAAAGCTTAAGTAACTGCAAAGTGGAGGCCAGGTGTTCTGAGGCAGAGAAGCTCATCTTAAACAGACGAAAGATATCTAAGGGCAAACCTGCTGTAAGTGCTGCGGCCCCTGGAGCTGGTAGATTATAAACCCAGGGGTGATTTCCTGTCCCAGGGGCCAAGAAGCAGCATCTGGATAAAAAGCTTGGCCGAGTCCACTTGATTTAATCTCCTCAGGAAGGTAAAATCAGTGACAACAGAGAAATGGGGGCAATCAGAGGTGAGATGAGGCCAGGGAGGGACTCTACCTCAAATGGCCTGGGTAAAAGCTTAGCCATTCAAATTCTTTCTTGCTAAATATGCTAAAAGGCAAGTCATGGCTGCTGCTGTAATATAGTGGTGTTTTACTTCCAGCTTCCCAGCAACAGGTGTTGGAGAGATAAAAATCGCTTGAACATCAGTTCCCTGCCAGCAGGTCAGGGAAGTCCCCCAGGTCACTGACATCTAGTATCAGTGACTAACAGGACTATCTAACTCAAAGACTCTCTCAACTCCAGAATTCCCACTCTAATTATCTTGATTGCCTTTGAAAAATCTATTCACAAACTCACAATCACAAAAATCTACCCATACTAGCAAATGGGAAGATTCACATTCTCATTCCCCACCCACCCTCCTACTCCCATACACACAGCTAAAATACTGCCCACTTCTGGGGCTTTTTAAAGATGTAGTCTATCCTAATTGGACAAGTATCTCCTGGTGCCTGGATCCATTAAAGATTGGATGCCACATTCTCTATTCTTCTCATCATACTTTAGTCCAAAAGGATCAAGCTTTCAGGTCAAAAGTAGTGACTAGCCTTTAAATTTTAGGGAGGCTAGAGCCATAGGCATTACACAGCCAGATCCAATCATTATCTGTTTGCTAAACTACAAACATGCACTTTAAAGGCGTAGGAGGATTTGGAGGGGAGACAGTGTGGCACTGAGATTTGGCAAGATGCCCTGCTTTTAGGCAGACTGTAAATTATAAATAAATAAAGTGTCTCTGTTCTTCTTCCTTTACTTTAGTGCATAATGAAGAACAACAGAGCTCTGCCTGCTCAATCCTTTTGTTTCCTCCTCAGATTTGCTGTTAATAGTTTCTGACTGGAAATGATTCCATGCATGCACAGATGCTGGCTTTGATTATTGTGTGGACAACTCCTTTAAATCCACAATTTCCAGACATCAATTCAGCAGATCCTTCCTCACCTCTGTGGAGACCTGAACACACCCTCAGGCCCTTGTTGTCCTGAGGAAGGTTACCACAGTGGGTCACCAGTCTGCCTTGGTGAAGAAGAGAAACAGCCATTCTTTTGGTTATTCAGCAGAGCAGACAGCTAATTCCTGAGAGAAACTGCAGCTAGTGTTATTTCTACTGTAATGTTTTCCCCCAACCATCTAGTGAAAGGGAAGAAAGGGATTCATTCTGAGTGGGGGTATTAGTCAGGGTAAGGCCACAGTCTACAGAAGGCAGCCTTTAAAGAGAATAAGCAAAGTCTTCTGCTTGGCTTCTGGCCGCTGCTGTCGTGGTTAAGGCACCACACTGCCCTCAGTCACACCACAGGGGGTGTCAACCAGAAGGCACTGTGCCCTCTGAGACTTTACACTGAGACTATGCTTGTCTGCACAGGCTTGGTGCCACTGGGAATCAGGCTTGTTTCTCAGAGCTGTTGAGAGCTGATAACCTGCTCACAAAGCAGACTTCAGACCTCCAGTCCCAGGAGGCCTTGGTGAAGCTGTGGGGGTTCTGGCCAAACTTCTCCTTCTAGCTCCATCCATACTCAATGCTGACAGGCATTTGAGTCTGTCACCCTGTCAGTGTGTTGCTATGGTGTCCATATCACAAACCTCTTGAGAGAAAGAGAATTCACCCACCTTCTGTGAGGCACCAAGGGGGCCTATCAGAAAGATATTGCTGATCAAACTTTAGCTTTCCAAGTTCCCTACTCAGTGGAGAGATTTGTTCTGATTCTAAGATCCAAAACTGCAAGTGACAGACTAAGAAATAAAAATTAAAAAACCAAAACAAAACTACCAACCAAACTTGGGTTGTAGAAAAACTAACATTTGCCTTGACCAAGCAACATTTTTATTTTCTGGGATAAAAATAAAGAGGATGAAGAAGAAGAGGAGGAGGAAGAAGTCTTCTAACATCATCAAAATGGTCTTTGAAGAAAATGATGATAATTGATTAAGGCGCACAGAAAAGTCAGGTTTGCCTTTTTTTCCCCCCCAGAACATTTTCTGCCATAGACACAAAGCACCGATAAACATCCGAGAGAGAGGCTTGGGGCACAAGAACCAGAACAGCCATCCCAGCATCTCTGGTTCTAACAAAAAGGTCACAGAAAAAAACATCATACCACCCTCTCCTCCATAAATACACCATATATCATGGAAAATATCCCAAATATCTCGGGCTGAAAGACAGTACAAAAATCCACTCACTGGTCATAAAAAATAAGCTTTTCTCCTATGCATAAATATAACTGTATATAAAGCAAACTTGTAGCACATGGATAGGGAAGGCTTACAAAAATCTCTTGGGATCTGGGCTATTTAAAGTCTCTTTTTTTGTTTGGGTTTACCCTCTGCTGGGTATAGGAAACTGGCTACAAATACATCCATCTCATAGCGCTCACCATTTCAACAGCTCCTGCGTCATGGAATGTGGTATTTTTTAAAAATAGGCGACCCTTGGAGTCATGGAAAGGAGAGGGGAAATGGGGGCTCAAGGGAGGGAGAAGAGGAGGGAAGAAAAGAAGGAGCCAATTTAGGCTACAGGGTGGGTTTGAAATACTCTGTGGTAGAGACACTCAGGTTCAGAAGACTTCCCCTGCCCCAAGGACCCCCAGTCTGCCTGCATCTCCATTCAGAGATCTGTTTCCCGGCTGGTGTCCAGGCAGAGGGCATACAGGGACCTCCTTAAGTCCACGTTGCTCTTGGCCTTGAGGTTGCACTTCTCTATGGGGCAGCTGCCTCTTCGGACTCCCTCTGCATTCTCCAGGGAGGCCCCAGCCTTGCCCAGGGAAACTTTGCTCCAGCTGGCCTTGCGCAGGCCTCCACCGTCAAGCCCGGTCCCCTGGCTGTGACTGCCCTGCTCTTCCTTAAGAACTGCCTGCTCCTCGTGGTCTGTCTCCCGGTGGTAGAAGTAGTTGAAGTTGGAGACGATCACAGGCACAGGCAGGGCGATGGTGAGGACCCCAGCAATGGCGCACAGCGAGCCCACGATCTTGCCCCCCACAGTAACAGGGCACATGTCCCCATAACCCACAGTAGTCATCGTAACAACTGCCCACCAGAAAGCATCAGGGATGCTGGAAAAGAGCGAGGCATCGTCATCGGCCTCTGCAAAGTAGACGGCGCTGGAGAAGAGGATGACTCCGATGAAGAGGAAGAAGATGAGCAGCCCCAGCTCGCGCATGGAGGCCTGCAAGGTCTTGCCCAGGATCTGGAGCCCCTTGGAGTGGCGCGAGAGCTTGAAGATGCGGAACACGCGGACCAGGCGGATGACTCTGAGGATGGCCAGGGACATGGCCTGCTGCCCGTTCTGGCCACCGCCTCCCACGCCCCCTGGCTGCTGCTCGGCCAGCTCGGTGCCCAAGGTGATGAAGTAGGGGAAGATGGCCACCACGTCGATGATGTTCATGATGTTCCGCGAGAACGCCGCCTTGCTCGGGCAGGCAAAGAAGCGCACCAGCAGCTCGAAGGTGAACCAGACGACACACGTGGTCTCCACGATGAAGAAGGGGTCGGCCAGGGTCCTCGGCAGAAGCGGTGCCACCGTGGGTCCGGAGGGGGGCGCCATGGGGCCGCTGCCGTTGGCGCCCGGGGCCGGGGCGGGAGCCTGGTGGGACGCCTGCGCGTGGCGCAGCTGCTCGCGCTCATCCCTGAACTCGGGCAGGGTCTCCAGGCAGAAGGTGATGATGGAAATGAGAATGACCAGAACCGAGACGATGGCGATGGCCCGCGCGGACCCCGAGCTCTCCGGGTACTCGAAGATAAGCCACACCTGTCTCTGGAACTCGTTCCGGGGCAGGGGCTTCTCCTCCTCCTTAATGAAGCCCTCGTCTTCCCGGAAGCGCTCCATCGCCTCGTCGCCCAGCTGGTAGAAGCGGATCTCGTCCGCGAACACGTCCAGGGAGACGTTGACGGGCCTCCGCAGCCGGCCCCCCGACTGGTAATAGTAGAGGATGCCATCGAAGCTGGGCCGGTTGCGGTCGAAGAAGTACTCGTTCCTCAGGGGGTCGAAGTAACGCAAGCGCTTGGCCGGATCCCCCAGGAGAGTGTTGGGGAACTGCGCCAGGGTGCCCAGCTGCGTCTCGAAGCGCAGCCCCGAGATGTTGATGAGGACGCGCTGGTGGTGAAGGGACGCCGCGCCCAGCGCCTGGTCCTCTGCCATGCCCAGGACAGGGTCGCCCTCTCCCTCCTCGTCCTCAGGAGGCGGCGATCTCGGCGGTGGCCGCTCCCGGGGCAGAGGGTGCAAAGGCTGCCCTCCCAGGTCCGCGCCCTCCTGCGCACTGCGCCGCCTTGGTGCCGCCTCGTAGCCCCCTTCGCCAAGCCCTGCCGTCGGGGGGCACTGCAGCGCTCCCCCTGTGACCTGGCCACAGCCTGCCCGGGTCTCACCTCCTCCTCGGATAGTCATGGCACCGCCGTTCTCCAGGGGCACCAGGGCGATTTCCATGGGCAGGGGGCATACTGCGCCCCTGACGACCCGCTCTGGTGCCCCCTGCGCGCTCGCCGTCAGGCACCCGGCGTTGGGCTCCTCTCCTGCGAGCAGCCAGCGGGCCCCACTTTGGGGCGGGCTGGGGTTGCTGGCACGATCCCCTCACTTGGCCCTGACGTCAAAGGAGCCGCTGCCCTGCTCTCTGCCTCTTTGCTCTGGCAGCCTGTTACCAAGCAGCCGAAAAGCCTCTTTCCAGTACATGCAACCTTCAGCCCCCCTGTCTGGCTGATCCACGCTTAGCCAGCCACCCTCCGTGGCTCCCCCTCCTTCCTGCTGTCCCCTCCTCCTGCTCGCGCCTCCCCTCTCGGGTCTCCTGGCAGCGGGTGTCTCTCTTGAGGGCGCAGCTGGGGCCCAGGGCTAGAGAAGGGAGGGGGGCCGAGCGGGGCGCAGCCTGGTGGAGGGAGAGAGGAAAGAATGGAGGGAGGCAGTGGGGAGGATGGAGGAACAGGTTGTACCGAAAGCGCTGAAACTCCCAGGGCAACCAGATGAGAATAGCTCTGCATTTCAGTTCACCTGGGAATCCGCTGAATGCCTTAGTGAACGCCAGGGGAGATGAACTGCCTTGCATTGAAGGCAGGAGGCTTTCAGCTGGGTCAGCATAGCAAAGAGAGAGGCAACTGTTTTCAATGTATCTTCTGAAGGACTACAAGTTATCTCCTCTTTGGGGGGAAAAGGGGTGAGGTTGACAGAGTTTTGGTTTGGAATTAAAATAATAACAACAAAAACTGTCTCCAGACTGATAAAGAAATTACCCCATCCTTCTCCCTCCCCAGCCCTCTAAAAAAGGCACAAAGCTAAAACCTTGTTGTGTCCCCTTGCAGTGTCCCTCTGCCTCTACCCTTAGGGTGGCTTGGTTCTCTGTCCAAACTGAGGTTCCAGGCAAGGATGACCCTGACAGGCAAGCAATGGATTGGGGATATTGACTGTCTAGTCGCATAACCTCTTGGACATACACAGTTCCTCTGCTCTGTCCATCAAATTTTGTTTGTAGAAAGCAAACACAGAAGGAAAGGACAGATGAAAAGCTCTTAGAAAGGACTGTTTTTGCCTGGTGAAGTGTGGAGCTAGCAACTGAAGCAAGTTTTGCCTTCAGAGGTGGGGCTGGAAGCCACACTGGAGAATTCCCAGGGGCAGAGTGAAAAGGCAACCAGCATTTTCTTATTATGCACCGGACTCATTTCCGGCAGTTTACAAATATTGAGTCCTGTATTCCTCATAGTAACTTGTCGTGGGTGCTGTAAAGTCACTTCTGACACAGTGAACCAACAGGACAGAGTAGAACTTCCTTTAAGCATTTTGTAGGCTGTGGTCCCTTGGGGAACATTCCACTAGGTCTTTTCTCCTGCATACCTGTAGTTTGCAGACTTTTCGGTTAACAGACTCCTGTTTAAACCAGGGCACCACCAGGACTCCTTACAATAAGTACTTTTGCTCCCATTTTTTAGATTAGGAAAATGAAGCACAAAGAAACATTAATTTACCCAAGGTCACACAGGTAGAAAGTGTCAAAACTTGTCTTCAAACTCAGTCAATTAAAGTTTGAACCCTTGAATCCTTATATTTCATTGCATCTGTAGACAAATAACCCCCTTTCCACAGCCCAGCATTCCCTCCTGCCAACATCTGACCTGAGAGCTTTAGTTTCTTACTACAGGAAGGAAGGGAATCACTGAGGTAACATGTATGCCTTTCCTAGTTTAGGAGGCCAGGGACTTCCTGGGTGATGCAAATGGTCCATAGGCTAGCTGAAAGGTCAGAGGTTTTAATCAATATACAAGTGCCTTGAAAGAAAGGCATGGTGATCTACTTCCCAAGAAGCAACCACTGAAAACTCTGTGGACACAGAGTTCTTTTCTCATCTACATGGAGTCAGCATTAGTCCAAATGGACTCAGTAGCATTTAGTGCTTTAGGAACCTACTGTATCTTTCCCCGACCTTACCCCTGCACAGTTCTAATGGCCATCAATGTTGTTGTTGTTATGTACTGTCTAGTCAGAACCAACTAAAAGCTGATGCTCCAGTGAGTTTTCAGAGGCAGTAAATCTCATGGTAGGAGAACATCCATCTGTCTCCCGAGGAGCAGCTGGTCAAACCGTTTGCCTTTGGGTTGGCAGTGTAACTCCTTACCACCAAGCCACCAGAGCTCCTCGTGGCCACCAACAGTCATGAGAAATATCTGCCAAGGTAAAGTCATGTGAGAGACTCTGAACAGTGTCAGACACAGCCTCTGGATATTTGCTAGTTTTTAAGTTATCATAAGTTAACTGCCTTTTTGAATGAGTTGTCTACTCTGTTCTTACTCATCCCTACAGGGGATGTTTTGGAAACTTGGTTGTGGATGTGCACATGTGTTTCTTGAAATAGCAAGGTGTGGACAAACAAAACTGTCAGGATGTGAGAAACGTATGTGCACGTGGCTTTTTAAAAGGCCTGGATGCATGTGAATTTGGTGTGTGCAAATGCTTTTATTACTTGTGCTCAGCTGTTTTACAGATGTGCATGAGGGAGGAAGGAGGGACGAAAGGGAAAGTCAGCACATGGAGGCACAGATGGTTAAGTAAAGGGCTCTGCACACCTTTCCCAGACATACACAATTCATGTCTAGACTTCAGTTATCCCTGCTCCATTTCCACTTCGGTTCCCGCCCCTGCCCCTCTGCTCTGGGGAGCCTGGGGCTTCCTTGGCTTGTAGAGGGTAAGCGCATGTGCCTGGCCACTGTGTCTTGTTTACTAACTCTCATATAAATCCAGGGATGACATATTGGTTACATGGGCTCTCCTTAAGATCCCTGGGGAAAGGGTTCTCTGGAGCTCATCTTAAGGTGTCCCCGGGGAGACTATCTCCTGAAGAATTAGTACAATATAAACATTGTCCTGGCAGAACATGTAAGCCAGACCTCCTCTAATGTGGTATTTTCTCAAATTTGTTTTCTGTGCAACCCCTTATATTTACCGACTCTCATAGTTTTCTTTCAAAATTCCCTTCAGATGTCACATGTGGCAGTCATAGAGGTGTACTGCTCAAATCTGCCTCAACAAAAAAAAACTTGTTTTTCAGCTGCAATCAGTGTGTTTAGCTGACAACCTCCAGCTGTTAGAGCCCTCTGTGTCTGCTACCAGTTCAGGCAGAGGCTCTGCTATACGACCTGGCCATTTCTGCCCAGTGGAGACCCTGCCAAAGGACAGTCTTTGCCCTGTACCTCAGTCATGTTGGCCAAGATGTTGCAATATCCACATTGCCATCTAAAAATCTCCCTGTCCAGTCCTGCTTCCTTCACACTTTTACAAGCATCAGATTAACATCATCATCTGAAGGCCATTCCTGCAATATTTGCCTGCCTCCAGCGACACAGCTGATACATTTTTTACTGAAGTCTACTTTACTTTTTCACCCATTCAGTATTAGGACAAAGGCTTTGGTGGCTTAGACCATAATGTGTCAGACTTCTGAGGTCAGCAGTTCAAATCTGCTAGCTGCTGTGAAGGAAGAAGATGGGGAGCCTATTCCCAAAAAAAGAGTTTTAGCCTTGGAAACTTGATGAAGGCTTGCCATGAGCCAGAACTGACTTGAAGGTGGTGGAAAGACCCTTGTGGTGCAGCGATTAAGTACTCAGCCCAGTCACTAACTAAAATGTTTGTGGTTTGAACTCACCAGTGGCTTCTTGGGATTCTGAATATCTTCCATAAAGGTTTAAGCTCCAAAATCAATCTCCATAATAGTCTATGTGTTTCCTACTGCCAAAGGGGCCCTTTAGAGTAGTGAGAGAAGATCTTCACCCTGAAACCCACAGCGTCCCTTTTCAGCAGGAAGTAGCTAAGAGAATACGCCATCCCCTTTTCCTTATGAATCAGGGTGAAGTCTCTCTCAGGGAGGAGTGATAGGGAATGGCAAAGGACACACTGACAAAGGAGATTAATCAGAACTGACTTTGACAAGCACTATGGCAATTGGACAATTAAAACAGACATTCGGTGGGGGGGGAAGAAGAACGAACTGGGGAGGAGGGTAGAGAAAACAGTGCAACAATGAATGAATGAGAACCCAAAATCTCTGTAAATGTTCATTAAAACTAATAAAATTTAATAATAATTTAAAAAAAGGTTTAAGCCTAAACCCCCTTAAAGTTATATGGGGTTATTGTAAAGTGGAAATGACTCAGGTGCACTGTGACTGTATCCATTGCTGCTGGTGAATCAGAACTGACAAAAAGCTGACCCTCCAGTGGGTTTCTGAGGCTGGAGATAGCAGGGAAAGGAGATATTGCCCATCTTTTTCCTGTGGAGCTGCTGGTGGATTCAAGCTGCTAGAGAGGCACTGCTCTGGATTAGCAGCACAACTTCCTATGAACTACATGACCAGAGCTCCCTGACTGCGTATGACAGACTTAAAACCCTGTCTGATCCCGCAACATCCTCATAATCTCTGCAGTTTTCAAAGCCACTCTTGAAGTTCCTCTGTCAAACCATTTCACTGACAGGCTTCTCCTTCTCTGGCTCTACCTTTCCAAGCATGATGTCCTTTTCCAGAGACTGATTCCTCCCGATTGCATGTCCAAAGTACGTGAGGTAATGTCTCACTATTCTAACCTTTAAAGGACACTATGGCTGTACTTTTCCAAGACGGATTCATGTGTTCTCTTGGCATCGTATATCTAGTACTCTTCACCATCATCACAATTCAAAGGTGTGAATTGTTTTTCAGTCTTCCTTATTCATTGTCCAACTTTTGCATGCATATGAAGCAACTGAAAATATCATGACTTGGATCAGGCTCACCTTAGTCTTTAATATCTTTGCTCTTTAGCACTTTAAAGAGGCTTTTGATAGCACATCTTCCCAGTGTAATATGTCTTTTTTTAAATTTTTATTTATTTTTTTTTAATCAATCAACCTTTAATTTAAGACCTTTAAGTAACTGGCTAAAAAAAATCTTCATTATTTAATATCAAAGAAATTTCTCCCCTTTTGCTAAGAGAAAAACCCTTAACAATTCTATGGGTATATTTAACATTTCTTTCTCTATTAGCTCCCTATGTTGCAACTAATAGCAATCCAAACTCTAGTTACCCTACTTTTATTTATTTTTTTTTAAATTTAGGTTGTTTATTTTTCATTTCAATGAACATCTACAGATATTTTGG